TGTACATGGAATGATCACACTAATGATATTGTACGTAAAGTTCGCCCTATGATCAGTTGCCTGGGTTTTTTTTAATACCGATTATCACGTAAAACGTTGGATAAAAAGTCCTATATCTTGTCAATATTTGACTATTGTTCGCATATTTGGCATAACTGTACGTCTGAGCAATCGCGTACATTAGAAAACTTACATCTTGATAATGAGACCAAATTTCAGTCCTTGCAAGATAGAAGGTACTGCCAGAAGTTTACTCTTTTCTTTAAGATGTACAATAGCCAATTCCCAAAATATCTTTGTGACCAAACTCTAAACTACAAGCTATAATTTAAGAAATACCTCTGAAATACAAGGAATTTACAGTCGAGCTGCCTCTTATGCCAAATTCTTTTCATCCGACACAATATATTTATGGAATGCCCTGCCAAATTCCAAAGAGTCATGTAGTCTCACAGAATTTAAAAACCTAATTACAAAAATAGAAAATAAGATTTATTTTGACCTTAATTATGGCATTCGTTTTTGTCAAATCGTTCACTGCCGCCTCAGGCTCGGATGTAGCGACCTAAACGCCGATAAGGATAATAGACATTTAATAGACAGCCCATGTTGTTCTTGTCGACATCAGAGTGAAAACGCCCTACACTATTTCCTCACTTGCGGTAACTATACTCAGATAAGATTTAATATGTATTTTTACACTACCGGTTGTAACCTGGATACCATTTTGAAGGGAAACAAAGTATTTACTCCTTGTGTAAACCAGAAAATAGTTCAATCCGTCCACGATTATATCATCTAGAAACAACGCTTCAAATTTTCTCAGGAAAATAATTAAATTTACTCAACAACTTTCTCATGATATATATTTCTACAATTGCTTGTTAGACACAACTGTAACTCTCTAACTTATGACTACTTAGAGAATAGTTGTATTTCATGTAATCTGTATATATATTTATATGTATTTAAAAATATTATATCTATGCAATGGTCAATATCGATAACTTTTGTATACTCTGCCAAAAAGAAACGCATCATGAAAATAGCAATTTCATGTAGCAATGAATTAAAACGTGATTCATTTTACAAAAGGTTTTGCTCTGTTTATGAGTCCTATGGTGTTTATGTTTTGAAACATCACAACAAAACGCACCATCCCTAAAATACCCGTATTTAACAGCATAATTTTCAATTTCGGCGTGTAGTGTCACAGAATACACAATTCACATGCAATGCACGTGAAAGTTGAGGATCAGATAGTCTCAATGATGGGTATAAAAGGTTGATGACTGTCTGTCGATTATTCACTGTATTTGGAATATTGTTGACGAACGCAAAATGCCACGTCTAAGTGAAGCCAAACGTCATATCGCCATTGGTTTGCTTGAAGCTGGCCAGTCTCAACGTGCAGTTGCCATGAATGTTCACCAAAGCACAAATACACGGCTCTGGGAGAGATATCGCCGGCAGAATTCGGTAGCAGATGCCCCTTGTAGTGGGCGACCTCGAGTGACCACTGCGGCGCAGGATCGCTACATCCAGGTACATCACCTGCGTCATCGAACAGCTATGGCGACCAGTACCGCTCGACAAATACCCGGATTGAGGAGGCTTTCCGCACAGACCGTCAGGAACAGGTTGAGAGAGGCTGGTTTACGTACCAGAAGACCTTATTTTGGCCCTGTGCTTCGACAACAACATCGTCGACATCGAGTTCAATGGTGCACCATCCATTGATGGTTTCTATTAGTGAGAACTTGAATGAAACGATCGTAGAAAAATATAAAATAAATTTGACTTTATATATCCAGAAAACATATAATCTGAAGCCTACACAACCTACGTTAAACTGCCTATGTATTATATAGGTTTCAGTTTAGTGATCTCAGTGTTTCTGTACTCCAGATTTCAAATAAAAGATATTGTCACATAAAATAAAATCGATTTCAGGAAAACGGAAACCTAATTGAAAGAATATGGAAACTTAAGATTCTACTCAGAATTATTCGTTATACTGCTACATCGGGTCTAACAAACCCTAGTAGAAGGTCGCGTCAGCTAACCTTTGAGCGACCTATGACCGTCCAATCAAACGCGAGACTGCCGAACGGATTTAAAGGGGAATACGAACTAAAACAAAACTTTTGATATGTTGTAAAGGATATTCTAAAACTCGCCCTCCGTGATTAAAATTGAGCAAAAAATTGTAAACTAGCATTAAAAACACAAAAAAACCGACAGTTAATGAGCAGAGGGGGACATGACGTCATATGTGCCTGTTACTGATGGCTTCCTCTTTGATTTTACCGCACAACTTAACTGTGTCCATGGATTCTGAAGCAGTAATAGATGTTCCTGATGTCATTTCTGAAATTGATGTTAGACCGTATCAATACGATCCGATTTTACATCTTGCCAGAAAATCTCCTAGTGTAGATAAAGAAGAAGAATCAAGCGAAACGGAGGCACCGCTTTAGGTCAAAATAAATTCAAAAATATACCACAACACTTAACAAGAATACTATTTATCAGCAAAATGTAATACAGTTCCAACCAGCAAATCCACCCATATAAATATATGACCAGTCCCTAAGAATGATCTTTTGTGAATGAAATGTGATTGCAGTTCCTTTTGTGTCAATTTGGGTGACTGTAGGGTTTCTGGGATGTAAAAACAAAATAATTATGCTTCAGACGGGGGAAAATAAAAATTATCTCCTACAATAATGACACTGGAATTATTTTGTTGGAAAAAAATAGGATCCTAGTTCTCATTAATAACGTATCAAATCTCCATACAAGATTCCCAGAGATAATATTCGCGACGCAGATAGGTTATTCCCCGAAAACTGGTGAATTGCAGAATACTAGTCAGGACAATGTATGTTACCCCAGTGTTTGGTTATGGAAATAGTTATGGTACTCGGTCATAGCCTTAGAATGACATCTTGTCAGCCAATGAGAATACAGAACAACTTTCACGGCACACACTACTGACAAATAGCGAGTCTGATGCCGACGTAATTGGAAAAAATGGAAAAATATGAAATCAACAAGTACTTCATGATTTTCCGTTGTATTCGGCAATGTTTCAGGTAGACTGCAGCATTTAAGGCTCCAAACTTACGTTTGACAAACCAGTGGAATCATGACAAATACATGTACAAGTAAATACAGAAACAGATGACACATTGTTACAAGTCTTATTTATCAGCAATCAAGATAAGGATAATGCATAAATATCGATTGATATCTATTGGTCGGATTTTTACAAATCCAAGGGGCACCCGGCTAATTGTTGTTGACAAGTATGTCACCCGCAGTCAGAGTGAGTGAGTGATTTTAATTTTACGCCGCACTCAACAATATTCCAGCTATATGGCGGTGGTCTGTAAATAATCGAGTCTTGACCAGACACTCCAGTGATCAACAGCATGAGCATCGATCTGCGCAATTGGGAACCGATGACATGTGTCAACTAAGTCAGCGAGCCTGACCACCCGATCCCGTCAGTCGCCTCTTACGACAAGCATGAGTTTCTGAAGATCAATATTCTAACCCGGACCTTCACGGGTACCCACACTCAGATGTTCTGATATTCAATGTATTTGTGCACAGGTGCTCGTTATAACTGTCGGAGGGATTCGGAGCATCAACATATCAAGCTAACTATATTCACTGAAGGGCTTGTTGTTGACGTCATCAAATTGGAATTTGATCAGCTGCACGTTGCCTATCACACTGCACGTGGGTATCGTGATGTGTGTTGCTTGGTGGTGGACCGGTGCCGGATGAAGTTGTTACCCACAGAATTATATGTTCAAATGACGTGGACTCGAACCCAGTACCATTATCACTTAAGGATTCAATAGATTAATTAATTACCTAATTTAAAAACTTTAAACAAAGTATCAATAGAAATCTGAATGGCGTAACTAATAAAGTAAAGAGGTTACATAACATATATGATAATCTGGAATGACAAACGGCAGAGTTGAAATCCGAATTGACAAACATGCACCAGAGTATCGAAGTAGTGAACGCTGATACTGACTCGCTCACTGATAAGATTGATCTGGTGCAGGAACAGGTGACAAGGTTCGACGACGCGTTTGATAAACTAGAGGCTTTGAGAACGAGAGACAATGTTATACTCTATGGCGTAGCCGAGGAACCTGGTGAAAGAAATATCCAGTGCCAGGATACTTTTTTCTCCATCCTAAATGACCATGTACATGTTAAGACATGGTCACCCAGTGATATTATTCGTGCTCATCGCCTTGGTACTGAAATCTCGGATGCTAGTAGACCGAGACCCCTTACTGCCAAGTTCAGAGAATCAGATTGAAGCACCGAAAGCTAGCCCAGTGATGAAGGATGGAGGGTATGGCATATCGAATGACCTCACTACAAGACAACGTCAGAAACTCCGTGACGGTCAGGAACAAGGCTTGTTGGGTACTTCAAGAATGACAGTATGGCATATCGAATGACCTCACTACAAGACAACGTCAGAAACTCCGTGACAGTAAGGAACAAGGCTTGTTGGGTACTTCAAGAATGACAGGCTTGTTACCGTGCCGCGTACAGATGGGAACAGCTCCTCGCATACACCGACACGATAAGAGCCCCGATCATCAAGAACCACTAGCAACAACAACACGAACGGGAGATTGGAGCTATGGCCGGCCGGACTATTTTGAACGGGGACAAGAAAGCTATATCACAGGTGTCCATTTTGCTGTGGAAGGTGTGTGGTGTTGCTGGTATACTGGATGATTAATCTTTGATCGAATACTTGAAAACATTTGATATTGTCTGTTCAGTAGAAATTGAATTTACTGCTGATTGCCTTGGGTTAGGTTGGTAGTCTGGCTACGATATTTATAATGCAAATGCAGTAAACTTATCATTGTCCGGCAGGTTATCTGGCGGCGTATGTATATGTTTTAAAAGTGTCTTTGGGTTACATTCCATTTATTAAGTTCTCATGTTATTTTGTTGCAGTTTTAGTTCCGTCCGCCGTGATGCAGTCCTCCCAGTACGGCCAAAATGTCGCCTTCATTCGCTTGCAATACTCCACCAGATTTGTGAACTTGTCTGAAAGAAAACCGAACGGCAGCATAGTAGTTTAGACCCTTGCCTTTTTCTCAATATAAGTAACATAAAATACATGTTTCTGTCGTAATGTTATACTTAACATTTGTCAAAGACAAACAAACCTTCTAAAGGATATGCCAGATCGATACTTCTCCCTAGAAATGAACCACTTAAATGCGTACATGTTTTGGTTATTCTGGAGAGTACGGGGCACCATTAGTTATACTCGAAGGATGACAATGGTGTGCCAATATTACGCTTTCTTTGTTTATCAGTTAATGACGCACACGGTAATATTCCACTTATATGACGGCGGTCTGTTAATTTTCGAGTCACAAGACAAGCCAGTGATTGAGATCATGAGCATCGATCTACGCAGTTGGCATACGATGACATGTTTCAACGAGTCTGACCACACGATCCCGTTAATCGCCTTTTACGACAAGCCTGTGTTGCTGAAGACCAATTCCAACCCAGATCCTCTCGGGCGCCGATGTCCCGTAAATATTAATCTTTGGGAGACTGAAATGGAAACGCTTTTAGTCAGCATCATTTACTTCTATTCTATTTATTTGATTGTGATCACTGGTTGAAGGCCCAGTTTGACAAAGTGATCATACTGGTAGGTATATACTTTAACATACCCTTTAGTACTGTATAGCTGTGAGAAATGTCTCCCAGTCTTTTTTGAAAGTTATAGCCATAGAACAATGGGAACCACTCGTTTCGGTCCGGACAACGTTTTATGATCATCTCTGAGCTGTTCAAATGTATGAAACGACTCGACGCTCGTAATCGTTAGTTTATCTGTTCCGTGGTTTGACGGGAATGTACAAAGTCAGAATTGACCTGTCTTAGGAATGAAAGGAGAGAAAGCCTGAGATTTATCCTGACACTGAAGTTATCAAAGCAATGGCCGCCTAATGATCGACAAATAATAATTAAATTGAATCAATTAAGCTCTTACAGCATTTTGGGGGAATCACACCATTAAAATTGATGGTATTAAGCATTTATTAGCATGTCATTATCGAACGTGTGTACATATAAGGGATTCCCCTTAAATATGTCCCACAATTCGCTGACGCAAAGAGGTACGCTTCCATTCGTGACCAACTCGTGTGTTATTCCGGGACAAGCCGAATAGCGACTCAAGGCCCTCTAGAAGGATTTCATATTGGCGTAGGAACATCAGATCTACTTCAAACAGGAACGATAACTCTATTCCTGTTTGATTCCAGTGGTATTTAATATCACCGAAGTACTCATACATTGTATTGCTGTTTTTGTTTTTGCATTTGAATCTCTCACTGTCAATCTCATGATTCATATAAAAACTTCACATTAGACAGCACAGTTCTGTTAGCTACGTTCTTAGTATTTTCAAAATGACGATGTATATTTTTCATGATCTTTTATACAATACTAAAATGCCATAAACGATTTAAGTAGTCGGGATTATTTTTCTCAAAGCACCGCAACCATTACGCGCGTTCTGATTGGTTGGTCGTATTTTCGCAAATAACAAGCATCGAGACGGGGACGAGTCTTCTTGGAGGTTACGGAAAGGGGCGAGTGGTGACGAATGGAGTCTTCTTGGAGGTTGCGGAAAGGGGCGAGTGGTGACGAATGGAGTCTTCTTGGAGGTTACGGAAAGGGGCGAGTGGTGACGAATGGAGTCTTCTTGGAGGTTACGGAAAGGGGTGAGTGGTGACGAATACGTAACAGGGGTGGTGATGTAGCATAGTTGTTAAAGCGCGTTGGTTCGTCACGTCGAACACCCGGGTTCGATTCCCCACATGGGTACAATGTTCCCTGTCGTTGTCGGAATATTGCTAAAATCAGCGTAAAGCCATACTCAGTCATTCACATTATATAACCCCCTAAACTTACCAAAGGACGCAAGAATTCTATTTTTAACCGACTTCGCAGAGAATTATATGTACATAGGGAATATAACGAAACAAAAGGAAATGGAAAACAGAGAAATAACTTCTAATCCTAACGGTCAAGACACCCGTGAAGATCCGGATTAGAATTGATCTTCAGCAACCCATGCTTGTCGTAACAGGCGGCTAACGGGATCGGACTCGTTGACTTGTTCGACTCGTATGTCATCGTGTCCCAAATACGTAGATCGATGTCCATGATGCTGATCACATGATTGTTTGGTCCACACCCGATTATTTACGCCCAAGCTGGAATACTGCTGAGTGCAAACAAACAAACAAACAAACAAACACACATTGACGTTCTCATTGGTTGTCAACCTACGAACAACTGAATAATGGACTCTAAGGGCTGAACGACCAGACAGCACCACAGAGGTCTTTGTGGCAACGTATTTACCGTTCACGAGTTGTTCCCCTTTGCTTCCTGGACACTGCCAGCAAAACTGACACAACAGTCCAAACAAAGCAGCATCTGTCTCACATGGTTGATCGCCGAAAAAGAATTTCTTTGTCCCTGTCAGTATTAGAAAAGTTGTACAGATGAAAAGAGTTAAAATGTTTGACCACCGATGCTCAATAAACAATGAAATTTGAGTACTGTTTTGTAGTACATGGATTGTCCTCCCTGAGGGCGGAAGTTCGTTGGTTCGAGACAGGGAGGTGGGGTAGTTTAGTGGTTAAAGCGTACGCTATCATACTGAAGACTCGGGTTCGAGTCCCCAAATGGGAACAGTGTGCACAGCCCGTTTCCCGTTTCCCCCGCCGTGATATTGCTGGACTATTGCTGTAAACGGTGTAAGACCATACTCACTCACTCGTTGGCCCGATTCCCTGCTGCCAAAACAAGTAAAAAATGACACTTGTTGTTGCCCTGCCTGGTATTAAGGAGATAAAACAAGAACTGGTCACCTGGGAGTCCATGCATGCCCGGTGTCCATAGTAAACTACAACGTTATTGCGCAGAGGGCAGCACAATAGAACCAGTCCAGACTAGTTCAACACGTAATTGCACATTGCTATATAAGGGCAATAAACTTGAACGTCACATTAAACCCTATTTATAACCATCACAATTGACGACATCTCTTACCAAGGTAGACTGATAATGATCTCAGATCATCCTCCATAATGTGCAACACTTCCTCATGGGTGTGTCGGCCGATTCCGTGAGCTTTCGTATTACTCAGATAAATTCTTGTTCCGATCCAGATTACCAGTTTGTTCAACTTGATGTGTTTCTTCACGTAGTCCAGGTTCTCAGCCCGGGACAGGCCCATACACCTGCAAAGATGCGTAATGGTCAAAACGTTGCCGGGGTCAAAACATCAACTGTCTTTGGTACGTCATGGGTTATCACATAACATGTATATTATAACGATATATGCAGTGTAGTAGTGACATATGCCCTTTTTCATCTGCTAAACAAAGGGAGGATATTTCAACTTACAAAACTCATATGAACCGTACTCCGCGCATCGACATTTGCGAACCCTACCGTTGCCTGACACTAAAACAATGTGGAGAGCAGATGGCAACAAGATTGACACACATGCTGTACGCTTTGGCAAGACAGAAATGGATGGACAATACGACACAAGGACAATATAACAGTGGGACAATACGACACAGGGACAATATGACAGAGGGACAATACGATAGAGGGACAATATGACACAAGGACAATATGACAGAGGGACAATATGACACAAGGACAATATGACAGAGGCACAATATGACGGAGGGACAATACGACACAGGGCCATATACGAGACAAGGGCAATATGGCACAAGGACAATATGACAGAGGGACAATACGACACAAGGACAATATGCCAGAGGGTCATATACGACACAAGGACAATATGACAGAGGGACAATATGACACAAGGACAATATGACAGAGGCACAATATGACGGAGGGACAATACGACACAGGGCCATATACGAGACAAGGGCAATATGGCACAAGGACAATATGACAGAGGGACAATACGACACAAGGACAATATGGCACAAGGACAATACGACACAAGGACAATGCGGCACAGGGACAATACAACACAGGGACAATACGACACAAGGACAATATGACAGAGGGGTAATTTGATTCAGGGACAATACGACATAATGACAATATGGTACAGGGACAATATTACACAGAGGCAATATAAAACAGGGACAATATGGCACATAGACACTATGACACAGGGAAAATACTTCACAGGAACAATATGACAGAGGGACAATACAAACAGGGACTGTACGACACAGGGACAATACGATACTGAGGACAATATGGCACAGGGACAATACAACACGAAGTCATTACAACACAAGGCAGCAGATGGACAATACGACACGAAGTCATTACAACTCAAGACAGCAGATGGACAACACTACATTGCGTCCTCGAAAATTGTAATCCCTCGAAACAAACCAGAATAGGTTTTCTTCCGCCATCTTTCGAAAGGCATGCGCAACAGCCCGTTGTTCCTCGGTCAGGTGACTGTTAAGATCAATGTTCAACTTCCGGTTCAGATACTCCACGCAGAACTGAGAGACAGCCACGGCCTCTCCTTCGTATTTCATCCATGGAATCTTGCCTTTGGACGAGCGCTTGACACTAAAATCATTCTACAAAGAATGATAGGTAATGATTAACCGCATATATCTTGCTACTTCCTCCGAGTTGTATGCTCAGATTTAAAAGTGATGAGACTCAACAATTTTACAGCTGTAAGACGGCATCATCAGAAGGCATATAATGGTCATGTTATGATGTTATTAATATGGACATGTTGGGATGTGATAAATATGGACATGTTATGATGTGATAAATATGGGCATGTTATGATATGATAAATATGAACATGTTATGATGTGATAAATATGGAAATGTTATGATGTGATAAATGTGCACATGTGATGATGTGATAACTATGGACATGTTATGATATGATAGATATGGACATGTTATGATGTGATAAATATGGACATGTTATGATAAGCTACATATGGACATGTTATGATGTGATAAATATGGACATGTTATGATGTGATAAATATGGACATGTTATGATTTGATAAATATGGCCATGTTATGATGTGATAAATATGGACATGTTATGATAAGATACATATGGACATCTTATGATGTGATAAATATGGACATGTTATGATGTGATAAATATGGACATGTTATGATATGATAGATATGTACATGTTATGATATGATAAATAGGGACATGTTATGATGTGATAAATCTACACTTGTTATGATGTGAGAAATATACACATGTAATGATGTGAAAAATATGGACATGTTATGATGCGATAAATATGCACATGTGATGATGTAATAAATAGGGACATGTTATGATGTGATAAATGTGGACATGTTATTATATGATAAATATGCTCATGTTATGATGTGATAAATATGGACATGTTATGACATGATAAACATGGACATGTTATGATTTGATAATTATGGACATGTTATGATATGATAAATATGGACATGTCATGATACAATTTCAAACCGAAACCGGTTTCATAAAGAGGTTGCGGAAGAGTTTTGTACTGTAGTACAATGTTTGCATGACGTCACACTGTAATGACGTCACTGCCTTGGTAACCGACGTCACGATTCATGTCAGTTGGCATCGCCTCGAACAGCTACCTACAGTAAACTACTCCGTAGCACCCCGTTTCTTGGTTTGCAGTTGCTTCATTCGGCTAACATCACTGGTGGAAACGTTGCGTTTATGGTTTTCGACAGATATAATGTCTCAGTTCGACTCACAATTAAACAGCGACACGGCAACGTTCGCAATGTTTACATTCCCACAATGCATTTAAGTTGTAGATTGAATGAATTCACATGTTTGTTATGAATGAAAAAATAGTTACGTCAGAATGTGACCTAATTGAGAGGTCATCGGTTATCCAATCAAATCGTTAGAATTTCAGGTCAAGTCGTTACGACACAGGTCAACGCGATACGACACTCGTGTGACGTATGAGATTAATATGCAACTACCCATACGTTGACCACGTGGGTAATTAAAGTCGTTACGACACAGGTCAACGCGATACGACACTCGTGTGACGTACGAGATTAGTATGCAACTACCCATACGTTGACCACGTGGGTAATAAATATGGATATGTTATGATAAAGAGGGTGTATTTACACTAGGTGGTATACATAGTGAAGGAGCGATGACATGGCTGCGAAAACAGATTATTTACAGATCGTCGCTATATAGCTGTAGAATGGGTTCTTTGTATTGTCTTTGTGGGCTGTTTACCTTCTAACTCAGCTTTATGTCGGGATTACTTTGTATGTATGTATGTATGTATGTATGTATGTATGTATGTATGTATGTATGTATGTATGTATGTATGTATGTATGTATGTATGTATGTATGTATGTATGTATGTATGAATGTATGTATGTATGTATGTATGTATGAATGTATGTATGAATGTATGTATGTATGAATGTATGTATGTATGTATGTATGTATGTATGTATGTATGTATGTATGTATGTATGTATGTATGTATGTATGTATGTATGTATGTATGTATGCATGCATGTATGTATGCTCTGCTTGTTCGCTCCCTCATTCTGTCAAGATTAGACAACTGCAACAGTCTGCTTACACGTGCCTCCAAAACCCAGATAAAGCGCCTACAATCTCTTCAAAATAAAGCTGCCCGTCTTGTAAGCCATTCTAAGCCGTCATGTGACGTACAGTTCATTCTGGATTCCTTACAGTGGTTACGGATCCATGAAAGAATTGATTTCAAGGTACTCACTCTCGCTTACCAGTGTGTTAACTCCACGGCTCCCTCATACTTGTGTGATCTTCTCACACCATACACTCCTGCTCGTGCCCTCAGATCCAGTAACCAACACCTGCTGGATCCTCCATCATTCAACCTCAAGACATTTGGTGCCCGTTCTTTTGCTTCAGTTGCAACCGCACTATGGAACTCACTTCCACTTAAATTACGTACAGCTCCATCCCTTCAAGTGTTCAAGCGTAACCTCAAAACACACCTTTTCAGTCGATATAAACAGTAACTCTCTCCAAGCTCATATTTACTACAATACTGATTCATATGACTTTTTGATGTGTTTGTTTTTAAACATTTGTGCGCGCTTTGAGCATACCCCATTGTGGTATTGCGCAATATAAGTACCCCTATTATTATTATTATTATATGTGTGTGTGTGTGTGTGTGTGTGTGTGTGTGTGTGTGTGTGTGTGTGTGTGTGTGTGTGTGTGTGTGTGTGTGTGTGTGTGTGTGTGTGTGTGTGTGTGTGTGTGTGTTTATATATAAAAGAAAGATGATGAGAATACCGAGCGTACAGTACTACATATATAAGAAGTTTCTGATATAATCACACGGCACGGATCTTCTCCAACATGTTTCACTTTTATCTTCAGGGAGAAGTGATTACAGTTAAACGGATTATGTTATGACGTCACTTTGTCATGACGTCACAATGCAACTGTATACAAATGTTGTGACGGGGCGTTGCCATGACGTCAGATTGGCGGCTTTAACCCCCTGGATGCCACAGGGACATATATGTCCTTCCCCTTCAACCCTCAATTTCAAGTCCAATAAAAATCAAAATATCCCACGCACACAAATACACTTCACAGTTTCGAATTCTTCGGGAAATTTCCTGTTTCTTGATACCATCCACTATTATTTTAGACAAAGTTCAAGTGCTGAAAATGACCTTTCAAAATAGGCTTCATCGAAAATGTCGCCATTTTTGACACAGTACGAAATCGCGATTCACAGCGTTATTTGCTGTATGTTTTGAAATGTGAAAACCGTATAATTACTGGGAGTATTGAATTTCAAAAATAACATATTCATGATCACTCATATCAGTTTTACATGAAATCGCTAAGTAAAATTCTGAAACGTTGCCGATGAATCTAGAATCGGTTGGGATGTTTTCGAAAATGCACTTACACGAACGCCGTAGAGCGCTTTCCGCCATATTGGATAGTGTTTACAAAATCACGTTTCGCGAAGGCCGGTATTGAGACGCATATTACAGCACGTATATTTCATATTCAGCTTCGAAAAATGCATCAATAAACTCCCCATATATTTTAGACTCAAACTGCAAGTGGTCTTTGTCACCAATGCCAACTGTCTAGATAAAATGAGACGAAACATATTTGGTGTGAAAACGAACGCTGTGCTCGAAAGACTGCGCTGGTTCGAAATGTAAACAAAGACAAAAAACCTATGTTACACTGTGTAGCATTTTCTGAAATTTTCCAACATTCATCCGTCTATTCATTGCTTGCAATGGCTCAATACCTTTGGAATATGCATGGAAAGAGTATCGTAGCGAGAAATAGGAAATTATAAATAGATACAATGCAATGATTTGATAATTCATAAGAAATTGTCAAAGTTTCCGTGCAGCGTGACGCCATGACTGACGGAAAATCACGCAGAACGACAACGGTAATTATCTGGATTTCTGTCTTTTTCTCTTACTTTTAGTGAAAACGATAAAAACATATAACAATACAGATAGTCAGAATCATTCTGATTACTTACATCTCATATTTATGGACAAACGATCCCTGAATCAATGGAAGGGTCCTCGCAAAATCCTGTGTACCCTTGTCAGCAAAGCCGCCATTTTGTAAGAAATCGGTCAGCGGTAGTGATGTCATACGTCAACATTGTTGTACATATTAGGCAATTTCTTTGAGGTGAAGGTCGGTTGAACAAGAGTAAACACAATCGCCCAATCCTTCCGATTACACTGTCAGTATTATGGTGTATATTTTGCGTATAGTTCAGATACTTTTTTTCATGAAACTGACTTCAGTATCCACATTTAGCCTTGTTCAATATCATATCAAACGTGCGTATAGGGTTTACGGTGTTTTATTATTTGAAAGTTTTTTGATTGTTTGAATCATATTTACATAGGAAATTGACATATTTAGTGCAATACACCATATTCTAAACCTTTACACAAGTGTTAGAAGATCAAACGTAGCCATAACTGCAATTGCGTTAGTTCCGATGATGTACAATATTCAATGCATTTGGACTAATATTGCAGTTTCACATGAACAGGTTAATGAACGGCGATTTAATTCAACCTTATAACTAAAACTGATAATATTAATGAAAATGATTTATATATGCAGGCCCTCCTATCTATGTGATGAAAAAGCGTTAAATGAGATCATAATGATGGCGTATTAGTAGCATAGCGTCTGTATTGCTATCTAATGCAGTTCATATGCGAACAAAAAGAGGTACTATCGGATTTGACAGCGGCTGTTAGCGGAATACGCGTACAGCCGCTATGCGAAACTCGGTAAAATGCAGCGGAATAACTTCGACTGTATCCGTGAAAAACCGATCGTAGCTGAATGACAACACCATTTCCGGAAAAACATTGTACGACAAAATGGCGGACGAAACCAAACAAGTGACAAGGTGAGTAGTTTCTTTTGTATATTTCGGGTTGAAGTTTTGACTTTTATGCATAACACCCACATCATTGATCAACCATCATGTATATGCAGCTGGATTTGTCATTTGATGTGGAATACGTGTTTTGTTTAATCAGTTACCGTAAATAAATGGGTAGGGTTCGGCCTCGTCAGTGTGTTCACTGTTCAGCCTCAAGTTAGGTTACACAGTTGTGTCTGAAAGAAGTGTTGCAGGCTGAAAGTTAATCGAGGCGGGTATGATTTCTCCAAATCGCACATTGGTACCAGTTTATTTTTTTCAGTGTTAGCATGTTGTGTCTAAGATATGTAGTAGTGAATGTGTTCTTGTTTAGATCTCGAGTACAGTTGTGCAAAGTGAAATTACGGTGAATATCGGGAATGTTGGTTTATGGCTGTTTTCAGCTGACAACTTGATAAAAGGATATGTCGTTGATTTTAATTCTGAATTACTTAAGAGGGTGTGCATGATCAATTGCGCAAATATGTAACTTATTTCATAGGTAGTCAGGTGTAACTTGCATTAGAATATATGATGATCATGCATTTGGTATCTCAATGTTGATTAACATGTTAATTGGTTGAAATTGGACTCTTGGTATATAGATATTAAACACATTTCAGGTTCGTGAGTGGTTCCAGGCGTGTGATGACCCAGGGATATCAGCTACTGACAGATGCAGGATGATACATATGGGTATATAGGTGAGTTGATTTAGAATTTCCTCTGTGGACTTCAGATCATTGTAATATGACCAACATCCATAATGAAAGCTACGGCTGATTAAACGTTAACTCTCTTAACTTCATGAAATTGCTATATTTCTTATTGTTACAGGTTCAAGAAATTCCTTCAGTCACTGGCTGATTTGTCCGCTTCCCTCCTGTGGGTTTACATGTGAACACGTCCAAAATTTGTGGGGAGAGCATTGTAAGACAAGATCCAACCAGGTAAGTCCCACACCGTACTAGGAAGGCTGGTGTTGTTTGACATTTAAATGTTTAACTAATGGCGTTTTCTAACAAACACTGGCAGACAGTTTTGTTTACCATTACTTTTTTACTATTAATAGCATTATTAAATATGTAGAATCTAGCAGTGTGGTAGCTTATTGTTTAGATGACTAACTGAACAGTGCGCCATGGTTTACAGTGTGATTCCACAGGTTTAACTATTTGATCATCTGAATTTTCAACTGATTGCTATCTTGCAGAGGTCTTGGTGTGATATTTTCAAGTATAATAAAGTTGGTCCTCTTCCATCAAAGTTAAGCCCCTCACTTTCACACACACATTGCATTCCACTAAAAGTGTTCTTCAATCCTATTACAGGACCACTTGTTGATGCCCCCAGTAGGCTCATCGTGCGAGGAAACCGGTGAAGGGTATGTCAAGTCTGCATGGACCTGGTCTTGGAGCTACCACAAAGTCAAGGAAAGCAAGATGAAGTGACTAATAAGAGCTGGTCTTTCTGTTGCCCACTGTGATGAACAGATGTCCAAGTGTTGAATCTGTTATGTTTTTACATATGCACTTTCATAATGTGTAAATATGGGAATGGTAAAGTTGGACATGATGTGATGTTGTGTCTTACGTAAACAGAAAATAAGACATTTTTATCTACTGATTATCATTGGACAAAGAAAGTCATATTCAGATTTGTCAATGAATAAAACACTTGAACTTCATATATGGCTGTATATATCTTTATTACAAGTTAACATGGTTGATAAAAACAACATTAAACATATCATTGCAGTTATTTGTTAGTTATCTTTGCCATTATCACATAGCTAACCTGGTTAGCCAAGCATCCTTCCTACTACTTTCAAAACACAAAGTCACATGAACAAACATGCACACATTACATTACAAACATGCACAAGTATTTTCCAACATCAACAAAATTTACAATCTCTAACACCAGAAAAGACATTTGAGGAAATTCTATTACTAAATCTAAACAAATGAACTTCAAATAAGCAAAGGTGGTATGGTTATCGTGGCAATTATAAGTCGGGTTTCCAAATTACGTATTTGGGATCTGACAACTGGCCATGGTCATTCATTCTACCAATGAAAAAATGTCATGACAGATTATGTTATGAGTTTACCACAACCTGTATTTGGGTGCATGCTCATCATGGAGCAGACTTGTATTCCTCCATACCCCGAAATGTTGTAACTATACTGCAAACCTTGCACTTGACAACACCAATCTGTTTGTGTACTTTAGCAACATGTTCCTCCAGCGTTTGGTTGATAAGGAAAAACGTCCCACACAATTCACATGAGAATTTGACATCTTTAGTGTGGCGCCTCACTTGCAGGTTCAAGGAGCCTTAGGTCTTGACAATCTTCCCTCAGGTCCCACACTGTAAAGATGGTTTGTGCTCAGTCGCTGCTGCAACAAACAATGTCTCATCTATCCTGGAAGCTTGATCAGTGTCTCATCTAAGTGAGACACTACCAGGAAACTTGTGTCATCTTGTTGCTCAAGTCTTGAACACTTCTGCAGACTGACCTGTAAGTGTCAAACCAAGAGAATAAAATTATGAAATAAATTCAGAAAATATTATTCAAAACTAATTATTATGAGTTATATTTTAAACATGGAATGAAAAGGGGCGTGTGTGTCATGTTTGTCACATATCTTTACAATCTAATTTAACCGAAAAAAACAAAGAGAACTGAAACTGAAGGGCAATAATCTACCTCTTTGTGTGAGAATCACAGCTGGTGACTCTGGCACATTGGAAGACTTTGGTATTGGTCAGACTCCATGTATAATCTCTGTCGACGGAGTTTCGGGAACAGTAGGGAGGTCACAACTGTCAGACATCTCGCCCATCCGTCCACCAGATCCCAGCACACTCGGCGACTGTGTATTTCCCAAAACAAACATGATGGTCTGGTAAGTGTATCTGTTACACAAAGTAATATAGGTTCAATCACATCTAGACACGAATAAAATGCTTACTGTTCGCACTCACTTCCATATTGCTCAAGTCGTCATCGTCCGTAATAACCCCGAATACCATATTCACACTGAGTCTCACTTTGCTCCTCACTGAATCCCCTCACGATAAATTTTCTAAAGTCATGTAAGAATTCACTCAAAGCAAAGGAGGTTGGTAGCCTCATTCCGCCGACCTCAGCTTGAAATCCGTTCGACTTCCATACAAAAACGCAGATAATGGACACAAAATACATTTTTTACGAAGATGAAGTATTGCTATCAAAGGGGGGTGATAACATGCGTTCAATGCACACTACCTTCTAAATCAGAACTACAGTATGTGGAGCTAAGCGTTGATTGAAACACTTACCCTTTTCTCTTCTCCTCTGTCGGCAGCCATTTTTCGCTCGCTGTGACGACAGGAAGTGTTGGCGTTGTTCGGCGAAACGCGGAAATTATCGGAGATGACCGAAAGTTTTCGGCTGCCGATGCTTTAGGTTCCAATAGCGGCTGTATAGTGCTTCCGATGCCAACCGCTTTTACAGCGATAGTTGCTGCATTCACAACACATTTAATGCTATTCCTTCGCATATGGTAGCTAAACACACGATATAGTTTACTTTACATCCAATAATGCTTCTTTTTAGTCAAATAGATAGGAGGGCCTGTATATGGTATGAAATGTATATGCACACATATTTAAAGGAATTGTCTTGTTTTTTTTTGCACATTTATGTGTCGGTTTATAGAGAAAACAATGATGTAAATTGATTGGCCAGGTGCGCGTTTGTCGGAAACGTTTTATGATTCACTATCATTGTTTTCGATAATATAATCAATTCATATTCGATTTAAAAATATTGTGATGACAGGATATCAAACTCTAACTATATTTATACGAAAATTGTTTAAAAATATATAAACCATGTCATGTCTTAATTTGGACAAATCTTACATCCATATTCTAATAAATAGTACGTACTAGTTTCATATATAAAAAGCTATCTTTTTTGCATCTTCCATTGCATACTTATGAAGAGAAATAGCTACATAATCATAAACAAAGAAAATTCTTATCCTAAACAAAATATTCGGGTGTTGTGAAATGTTATTTTTCATTTACGTTAAATTGATGCCAAACAGGTGCGCGTGTTTCTCACAAAAAGATACACAGTCAAACTGTCTAATTGTTGATATATTCAGGACACTATTTAAATGGAAAAATCAGTCATTTTATGTTTTGTCTAAAGAGTCTTAAATTCTGACATAGAAGCCGAGACCTTTCACACAATTAAAGGAAATTAGGTGAGATATGTACTAAACAGCATACCAGTGTCGTCTTTTTTCCGACGTCGCAAAATGCATAAAACAAGCAATGACGTCAACTAAAATGGTGTATTATTTTCAGCAATTTCATTACATTTGAAGATATGGCTAGTACTCTGGTAATAACGATGCAAAATTAGTCAAAATACATCTACACAAACAGGACAATATGGGAATCTAAGAACTAACTTATATATCGGATAGGGCCATCCAAATCGCTATTACGTGCTTTCACATGTAATACGTTGTCATTTTTCTTGTAAATTGTGAAACTACCAAACTGCATCCGCTCACTTTGGGGGAACTTTGAATTGGGATAGTTTGGTTCACCATGAACATAAAATAACGAAAATATAGCGTCCGTATCCACAACAAATTCTCTCAAGTGATCTGAGTTACATGGACCTAGTGTTACGCATAACGGAGTTATGCCCCCTTATCATTATATGTGTATGACCTCTCTGTCGTCGTTTGACGTCATAGAAGAAAATCCATTTTTGACATTTATTGCGAGTCATTTTTAATGTTGAGCGTATAACGTTATGCACAAGCACATAAACCCAATTCATATACACTTATGTCGTTCAGATATCAAGCTGTATTTTCTTCGCTAACACTTTCCGTAAAGATGCCACATTAAAAAATTCGTAGCACAGTGCTTTTATCGGTGCGCGATAAAAAGCGGATAAAATTACTGTTTTTTAACGCATAAAAAAAAATTGGACAACATTTAGCAGTGTCTATTTCTCAAACCGCCGAGGTAGTTGCACTTATATTTATACCAACGGATAGGAAATTTAATATTCTACATTTCTGTGTAATTTTATAGCCGTACGTAGATCCAGGACCACGCGAGCGCAATTCTTGCACAACGATCACTTTTCAAACCGTATGAAAATGTGCGCCTGAAAAAAAACTCGGCAGCCAGGGGGTTAAATTGACAGTACTAGTAGCACAATGAAAACAAGTATAATTCAGACACATTGAGTTACCTATTTAACGATGGACACAATTCTTTAATGAAAATGATTTCTGTAGCTTTACGCTGCATGGCGTCAGCAGTATTAATTTTAAAGAAAGGGTATATTTTAAATTGTATTTCCTTTCCTGCTGCGTTATGATTGTGTCACAAATACGACAAGAAACATACGATGTCGTAGTTATGATAACACACACACACACACACACGTGTGTGTAGTTTGTAAGTAAACAACAGTTCCTGTTATACAGGCGAATGGAAAGGCGACCCAGATTAGAACAGCCTTAGAATTATATATATGCTTGTGTTTATCCGAGTCCATATCATTCTTCTTCTTCTCAGAATTCCAACTGTTCACAATTCCAGCAATCAGAGATCACTTGATGTATATGTGTGTGTGTGTGTGTGTGTATAATCGGATATTCATGTGAGATATATTCTATTACGTAATCCTAAACATTGGCATTGTCAATAACTGCCCAAAGATATCTTTGATTAACCTCACTAGCCTGATATTCTATTTTCACCATTCGAAGAAAGGTCTCCAACTTGAGAGCAAATGGGGAGAAACTTGGTGCCCTTGGTCCTCTCGATATCTGGTACAGAATCACTTTTGGGGCAGAACTGGAAGACAAGCATGTCGACTCAAATTGGTAATTCTCGTAAATTTGATTCAAGTCTTGTTGGCGTCACATGTTTTACCTGTTAAATTGTATTGACATCAACCCAAACTCTTACAGTCATATATGTAGCACGATGATATCCCTTACAGTATTCCATAGTTATGACATCGTGTCTGTGCATCAGCTTCAAACTAGGATCAGGGTCCTGATCCGTTAGCGTTTGTATCGGTACGACCTGTCGTAACTGTATAGCTTATCATTGGCTTACGATGTCGTAGCGCTACGAGCGTTTTGTGGATCGGGACTCAGGATCTCAGCTTCAGGATCTCAAGGCCTCCCCACGCTAAACTAGAGCGTTACAATCATACTGCTTGTCTCAGTTAACACCGCCGCAGTACGTTTTAGTTGCAAAATGCGATTTTTACTGCTTTAATTCTTGGGATATCCCCTGTTTTTGTAATATCAAAGTAAAAGGAAAACACGTAGTTTGACAAAATTTCATAGAAAGACGATTCCCAAATCACATATATACGAAGAATCATATATGTCTTTAAAGACAGCAACATATATACGCCATTGCCCCAAAGTATTCCAGAGATTGAAACACACAACAATAAATGCTCTTTTCAACACATGAATCAACTTCGTCAATATATCTTATTTCCTATATTTCTCCAACAGTCTGCCTATATTTGATAACTGACAAGATTACTACATTGAAGAGCTGCCCTCTTGACGTAGTACATGAGAATATTTAGCTCATATGACGATGGGCATATATACCATGATAACTGAGAAGATTACTACATTAAGTGAGTGAGTGAGTGAATTTAGTTTTTAGCAGTATTCCAGGAATATCACGACGGAGGACACCAGAAATGAGCTTCACACATTGTACTCATGTGGGGAATGAACCCGGGTCTTCGGCGTGACGAGCGAACGCTTTAACCACTATTCTACCCCAGCGCCCCGACTACATTGAAGAGCTGTCCTATTGTGGGTATAAATTGTGGTTCCGAGTAGGTGAGGTGAGGTGAAATGGGGTTTAACGTCGTAATGGTGAGACTTCTTCGCTCAGGGGAGGCTCTAAAACACTACACCACGGAGGCGGTCGCGCGCATACAAAGGTGCAAGGTACAAACGCACACGTAGCTTTCTCGTGATATAAGTGCACACATCTTGACCCCCTACCTTCAATCCCCATTACTAACTGTAAACGTACTTCAGTCTTGTTTTCATGCTCTTATCAGAGAAAACCTTGCCATGAGGAATACAAAGTCCAGCGTAACTGGGTCGCGTTACACATGGAGACTCTGATATCATGGGTATTTTAGGACTCATAGGCCAACTGTTTACAGGCACGTGAGATGGCGCTCATACCTCACTACCTTGACACCCATTAGTGAGGTTTGTTGGTTTGTACTCTGACTTTGTCCTAACAAATACCCCACCTGGATAACGGCTGTCTGTTAATCATCGAGTCTGGACAATGTAATTTAGCTACTGAGCATTCATCCACACTACTGGGATACGAAGACACCCGTCATCCATGTCAGCGAGTCTGATCTCCAGATACATTTAGTTGCCTCTTATCTATCCATTTGCGTTCATTAGTGCAGTGGGGCGGTGGGGTAGCCTAATGGTTAAAGCGTTGGCTCGTCACGTCGAAGACCCGGGTTCGAATCCCCGCATGGGCACAATGTGTGAAGCCCATTTCTGGTGTCCCCCGCCGTGATGTTGCTGGAATATTGCTAAAAGCGGCGTAAAACCAAACTCAGTCAGTCAGTCAGTCGTTAGTGCAGTACGTGTAAAATTATGTCTCTGTGGATGAGCATGTAGCAGCACAATATCGACCCTACCTGAAGAGTACAAGGACGTGACAATCACCTCAGTTTGACACACTGTTGTAGCATAATCAGAGTTAAGACATATCACTGAGGAGGTTGTTGGGTGTAACCTCAATATACTGAACCACTTCATTTGTGTGAAGTCAAGGAGAGTTGTTGGGTGTAACCTGACTTGCATGTTACGGAAGTCAAGGGAGGTTGTTGGGTGTAACCTGTATGTTACGGAAGTCAAGGGAGGTTGTTGGTGTAACCTGTATGTTACGGAAGTCAAGGAGGTTGTTGGGTGAAACCTGTATGTTACGTGGAAGTCAAGGGAGGTTGTTGGGTGTAACCTGTATGTTACGGAAGTCAAGGGAGGTTGTTGGGTGTAACCTGCATGTTACGGAAGTCAAGGGAGGTTGTTGGGTGTAACCTGTCATGTTACGGAAGTCAAGGGAGGTTGTTGGGTGTAACCTGTATGTTACGGAAGTCAAGGGAGGTTGTTGGGTGTAACCTGTATGTTACGGAAGTCAAGGGAGGTTGTTGGGTGTAACCTGCATGTTACGGAAGTCAAGGGAGGTTGTTGGGTGTAACTTGTATGTTACGGAAGTCAAGGGAGGTTGTTGGGTGTAACCTGCATGTTACGGAAGTCAAGGGAGGTTGTTGGGTGTGACCTGTATGTTACGGAAGTCAAGGGGTTGTTGGGTGTAACCTGTATGTTACGGAAGTCAAGGGAGGTTGTTGGGTGTAACCTGTATGTTACGGAAGTCAAGGGAGGTTGTTGGGTGTAACCTG